GAGGGTACCTCTAGAGATCCTAGGTCATTGGAAGTCGAGCCACTCAAAGTGGATATTGACCCCAAGGCCACCATGGGTCCCGAAAAGGAAGTCGAAGCATCTGAACAGATGAAAGTCGATGACCTGACAGAGGAGGCACTCAAAAACAGCGGAGGAGCAAATAGACCTCTAGAAGTAACTTTAAATCCAACAACTGTCTCATAGGCAAGGACGTTGGGAAAAAAATAAAATGATACAATGCAACTTCCAACACAAAAAGGCGGCAACGGCAACACTATGTCGCCACCTTAATGTATTGGGGGAGGCAATAGCTTTGATCCAGGAGCCCTGGATGATAGAGACCAAATTTACTGGTTTCAGTAGCCTAACTGGTCAAATTTTCAGATTATCAAGCAATCAGCAACCTACGACCGCCGTTTATTTTCCTAGGGATTACATAGCCTTTTTGATGGCACAATTCAGCACCTCAGACCTCACTACGGTTAAAGTGGAATGTCCAGATGAAAAAGGCAAATATACGGCGTTGAAACTCACATCGGTGTACCTCTTTTCAGATGTAGCCACCCTACCACACATCAGAGAAATAGATGTACTAGTACATCACTGCCTTACCAGAGAGTGGAGCTTATATTGGGTTGCGACTCAAACTCTCACCATTTAAGCTGATGTAGCAAGGATATCAACGCCCGAGGTAAGTCCCTATATGAATATAATTAAGAATGATCTAACAATGTTGAACAGAGGCATGGAGCCGACCTTTATTAACGCCCGTAGATATCACGCTAACGACAGCCAAAATATCAAACAAAATCCAGGACTGGCAAGTCTCGGACCATATTTCTATGCCAGACCACCGCTGGTTGACCTATACGGTAAGCTAGAATCTCAGAATCACTGTAAAATCTCGTGCCAAAAGAGGACGGATGCAGCTCTCTACAATCGACTCTTAGAAGGAGCTCTGCGGGAAATGAAGGTCCTGACTCCTGGCAATAATGAAAAACTGGAAAGGGACACGGTATCTATCCAAAACAACATAGGCATTGCTTACAAGGAATCCTGTCCGATGAGGATGGTTCAAACAGATGGTTTAAACAGATGCCCTGAACTGGAACACCTCAGGAAGACAGAGAGAATGACCTTTAACAAGGCAAAACGTAAAAGACTTGAAGAGGACTGGGGTATATATTAAGGCAACCTCAGAAAGTTCAAAAAAGTCTGCAGACAAAAACAAAGAGAAGCCTGGAGAGCCCACTGAGAGGCAGTCGAAAACTTCCCACTAGCTTCTAGGCTACAGAAGGCACAAATGACCACCATAAGAGTATCGGCATCCTGACGAGGGAAAGTGGCGACAAAGCCGCCAACCTTCAAGGGAGTGCTGGGATTCTTATGGAAACTCATTTCCCTGATTCTGTCTTTCCTGAAAGTACCAACAACACCCTCACAATACGACTGTCAATCTGCTAGTGCAGAAATTGACGAGGACAAAATAAGATGGACCGTATCGGGCTTTTCCCCCGAGACCTGACGGTATAAGACCAGCCCTACTTCAATGAGGACTGCATATTCTTATGCCACACCTGGTTGGAATATTCAGAGCCTCTCTAGCTCTGAGGTATATTCCCAGTGAGTGGAGAGAAGTACGATTAGTATTCATACCCAAACCAGGTAGGATGGACTACACCTTACCAAAAGCATTCTGACCAATTAGTCTCACATCGTTCTTCTTAAAAACTATGGAGAGGCTACATAAGAAATGATGTACTAGTTCACAACCCACTTCATTCAAATCAGCATGCATATACTTCGAGAAGGTCTACCAATTCGGCCCTTCACCATGTGATGGGCGAAATCGAGAGATCATTGGACAACAAAGAATCCACCTTGGGTATATTTATAGATATCAAGGGAATGTTTGATATAACAACCTTTCCAACAATTACCCAGCAACTACACTCCAGGAATGTACCCCTGGTAGTATAAGAATGATGCATACACGTGATGCTCTCTAGTAGAGCAATAAGTATCAATGTAGAAGACATCACAGTGAGGGGACTAGTCATGAGGAGATGTCCACAGGAAGGGGTCTTATCACCCCTTCTCTGGAATATAGTTCTGAATACCCTGATTAATCACCTAAACAATAATGGAATCTACATAATTGCATATGCAGATGACATAGTTATCTTGCAGACCGCAAGGATTGTGCAGGATTTGTGCAAATTAATAGGAACATGGTGTAAGGAACACTCACTGTCGATCAATCCCAAGAAGACGAAGATGGTCCTTTCCACCAGAAAAAGAAGTTTATCGGGCTTAAAACCTCCCGAAATCTTCAAAAGCAAACTGAACTTCTCTAAAGAGGTGAAATACCTTGGTACTATCCACGACATGACGTTAAGGAGGTTGCGTTAATGGTCATGTAACGACTACGCACGGCTGGTGTAAACCTCGAAGTTGGAATGGGTCAATTGAGACTGAGCCCATGGCGAGAAGCGCTCACTGCGCAACCTCTGCTGCAGAAAACCAATGATGCAATTGAACCCAGGTTTGTGTTCAGTGAACCCTACAAAATACAAGTAAAACAAAATACCAGTGATGCAATTGAACCTAGGTTTTTGTTAAGTAAACCCTACAAAATACAAATATAACAGAACACAGAGTCAGATGCATGAATGTAATACGCATATATACAGACGGCTCAGAAACCAAAGCAGGCTCAGGATGTAGAGTGTACTCCAGATCACTAAGCCTAAGGATTGAGTGAGGAATGGGTAGAATACTAGCGTAGTCCAAACATAACTGGCTAGTATCTCAATGGCCACAAAAAAAAATAACCAGGAAAGGAATTTCTGGCAAAAACGTAACAATCTGCTCTGACAGTAGACAAACCCTAATAGCCACCAAGATTTAGCAAAAGCCTTGGTAGATAATAACATTATCCAGAGGTGGGTTAAAGAGCACGACAGGAGTAAAGGTAATGGCATTGCCGACTGTTTGGCCATGGAAGCGGCTGAACTAAGAATTTTAGGACCCAGTGGCACCTAAGGCGTGATGACTTCGGCAATTGCGGAACCAGCCAAATGTTACACCCATGCTCAATCTCTAAAGAGATTGGATGGAATCAAAGGATGCAATCTTGCCAGGATCACCATGGGCGACCCTGGGAAGCTGGCGCCGAAGTAATATCTGGCGATGACCAGAAAAAATATACGCCTAACAGTAGGATTTCTGGCTGGCCACTGTTAACTAAGGAAACACCTCCATAATACGGGGCTAGTAAACACACCTCTATGCAGAATGTGTGAATAGGAAGATGAAACTCACAAGCATGTCTTATGCGGATGCCCGAAGTTATCGTCAATAAGAGAGTGTGTGTTCGGCGAGTCCACCTTCCTGAAAAGGATAGGATGAACGATGACCTAGGAGGACAACTCCTCGGGAGGATATACAATGGGTCACATGTGGCCTAAGTGCTGTGGGCTCACACTCACCCCCTACTCTACAGATACAGATCAGGTAATGTCTCTGGTGTCCCTAATGAGATTGCTCGCACCTCATTCATTAGGATTTCCTTTACCTTGCTACTTCTCGCGAAAGGGTTACCCTATGTGTATTGTGTTTTCTTTGGGTTATACTCGGCTTCAGGTGTACTTTTTCCAACTGTTCCAGTGTTTATCACTTTTATCTCTTTTTTCTTTGTTCCACCAGAAAGGTCGATATCTGGTCGCTCTACTCATATGTAGTCTGTGGTCGGCCTTAGTGCCCTAGAGGTTTTTTTTGACTGGGCTGTTGGATGTTTTATAGAGGTTTTCTACTCGCAGGCCGGCCAGCTAAGTTAATACCCCGGGGTCCCCGTGCAACGTACCGCAGCCACGCCTCACTGATATTGTTGAATCACGGGTCAAGGTAATAAGAGACTGTCTCTTAGCCTCTTGTGCGCCTATATTTTTCTGACTCTACATCCGTTACTTGTTTGGCAAGGAAGGCTCTACCAGAAGCAAGTTACGGCCGACTTAGTTTACCAGGGCTCACATGCTTACAAACCACGGCAAAGTGAGGACGTATTTGGCGGTATCAGTGTTAGTGTCAGTGTCAGGTCTTGTTCGAATATCCATTCAGAGAGATTATCTGTATAATTTTTAACGCCTATCAATCAAACAGTCAGGTACATGAAGACTAACTTATCTTTTATAGAAGTGTCATAAAGTTTATGAGGTTGAGAGCAGTTTTAGATTTGAATCCAATTCCATCATTTTTACAGTGGACCAGATGAATGGTGATTGCGATAATAATTTATCAAAATGCGTTAGCTCCATGAATAATTTGCGATGCAAAATGACTCGAACCAATATTTTTATGTAGAAAAAAGGCATTGATGTTCAAGGGTTGATTTTACCATCATTGCTTCAGCAAATGAAAGTTAATACGTGAAAAAATAAGTTGACGCATGTCGACGAATTATTATTGCTACCACCATTCATCTGGTCAACTGTGAATTTGAAGTAATTGGATTTAAATCTAAAGCTAACTTCAGCCTCATATGAAGTTTATTAAGGGATACTTCTCAATTTTTCGTAATTTCTAGATGGGAAGGGTACTATCCATGACATTATAAGTTCACTATAATAATCTAGTCAGAAGTGCTATTTAAAATAATTGTTCGATTTCTCGGAAATTTATAATTGAGTTGTTATTTAATTCGTGATTTCACAAGAGCGATTTTCGATTCAAGCTAAGTTACGGAAATAAATTGTTCAAGAGTTATGAACAGTATAGTGGAATGAAAAAAAGGATTGAATGACGAATCGAATGACGTAGTTTTCGATGGAGACAAATTCAAATCATGTGAAATGCCAATTGCAAACTACACTGATTTTTCTTGCATCCACCATCCTCACACGTTAACGATTATCAATAACTCTTCTCTCGAAACCAGCAAATGACTAACATATCAATAATAGAGAGTATTTTCAAATAATCGTTTCAAATTTTCAACTCACCAACTGTGTTATATCCTTGGAGTGTCAAAATATTTTCTTTATTCTCGTACTTGATGATAAACGTGATAGTACTTTTCATCAGGAGGCTGGTTCATCCAACAAATTACGAAACAATGTTCACAAGTAATAGTGCGAAATGTGAATTGCAGATATGAAACCATTAAACTATACTTATAACATATTGATAACACCTATCAATCTTCGATAGCACGATAATCTTCGATAGCCCCAATCAATATTTTATCTTCAATTTCATTCTCTCAAACTACTGAATCAGCGCGTTCCGCTGAAAAAATGTATATCTTTCAGTAATATTTAACTTCAATAAAATAACATCACCGAATTGAAGTGGAGTTCCTGTGAAGGCCTGAAACGTAACTTATCACCTGTTCAAACATTATCATTAACTGATTCCAATCTATTTATATAAATGATAATAGCATGAAATATACCAACACAAGGAAGCACAAAATGAAACGACGTTATTTTTAGGAGTGAAGTTATTTTTGAATAAATAAAAAGCGGGGAATTATCAACACCCTGACCGAACGTGCCCGTAGAATATGTGAACCGGAACACATACAAGAAGAATTGGAACATCTTCAAGTGGCTTTAAGATCGAATGGATACAGTTTAATCGAGATCAACAAGGCCATGAAACTGAAGACTTCTACAAGTCAAAATAGGGAGTAAACTCAAACGGTTGCACGTGCATTTCTACCGTACATCCGTAGGGTTACAGATAGAATCGGGAAAATCCTAAGAAAGCATAACATAAAAACAGTGTTCAAGCCCACCAGGAAAATACAGCAAAGCCTGATATCTGCGAAAGACAAAAGAGATCCACTATCAGCTGCGGAGGTATACCGTATACCATGCACCTGTGGAAAAGTTTATATCGGTATCACCAAAAGATCCATGGGTACAAGAGTAGCCTGTGCCATAATTCTGACGACTTTTTCGGTAGTTTAATATAACATCTAGATGATATGATGAAACCCATACTATTAGTCCATATGTCATTAGGCTGTGAAAAATTGCGAAATAATCTACTCTTGAACAATCCGTTGTTATTATGTTGCTAAGTTGTATTATCATGTATATACACGTGGATAGGCGCTTTGATAATTTGTTAATATGTGGAATGAAATTCAAAGATGGGTCAAAATACACTCCGAGAAGCTTGATTGGTTCATTATTCTTTCATATTATTCGTATTTGAGAAAGGTAACGTTTTGGTTTTATCATCATTTATAGTAAGATAATTGTTTCTAAATCAGTAAGCAATAAAGTTTGCAGATGCATTAGCATTAGAAAGTAGATTGTATGGCGTAATGTGAATCAACGAAAAAGTGGCATCATCACCGAAAATACATTACGTTAAAAAGGAATATCGTTAATGTGAATAATTTATGCACCCCGGACTGAACCCTGCGGTACTCCATAATTGACTTTCAAAGGCTTTGATATGTCTCCGTTGGATTTAACACGTTGCTGGTGACATGCTTTTCCTCTGATCCCATAATATTCTAATTTTTGTAAAAATACACCGTGGTCCACTGTATCTGTAAATCTCCTCTGCCTGTAACCAAATTAAGCATTGCCTACTGATTTTTTTCAAAGTATTCTAATAATCAATTTTTTAGGTGAATTTCAAATATTATTGGAATACCAGGTATAATGGAAAAGTAGGCCTATAATTGTCTGTATTTTTGAACTCACCTTTCTCGTGAATAGGAGTAACTAGAGCTGTATTGATCTATTTGAAATATTGGCCCAAAAACTATCGAAGACAGTCAAAAGTCTAAGATTCACGTGAACCATATTTCAACAACTATCTTTTCGGAACTAGATTTGAGAAATTTCGTCCAAGCAGAACTACCCAAAGTCCAAAAATATTTTATAACTGGAATCAGGTCTTGAATCAAAGTGAAATATTACCTCAGATAAATATTACCTCAGATAGTTATGAATGATGACTATTCAAATTGTCAACAAAACAAAATTCAATCGTAGGGGAACTATTTTAATCCCAACCAAAACATTTGGAACGACAGTTTGTTATCCTGCTTTGCAGACCCCTCTTGACCAAGTATCAATCATAGTGATTGCTACCGGTTGAATCATAGTGGTACTACGCTCATCTAAACTAAAGTATCAGTAATTCAATTCACTATCGATAAATGTAGAAAAATCCTCAATTACAGATTCAGTACAAATTCAAGTTTCTATTATAAATTTACCTCAATATGTATTTTTATATTCTTTTGTTGACTTGTTCTGTTAACATTGACCATGTTATATGATGGAATCGGCAGATACTTGATGAAAATCCATAACTAACGTATTCTAAAAACACTTCATTGTGTGATTTTCACTAGATAGTTTTACAAAAATGCAACACGTGTTTCGCCATACAATGGCTTCCTCGGGCGTGTCTTAATAAATGCCTCTAAATAGACCAAACCAAAAATTATCTTTGTGGATTGTGGAGATGGACCAGAAATTAATTATGTCTACTAGAATAATGAATATTATTTTTATTACACATCCCACATTTTGAAAAATTAGCCACAAAGCGTCATATGATATTTCTATAGAAATTTGGATATTGTTTGCTTGCACTGGTCCTAACTTATGAGGAATAATCTTATGTTATGTTTCTTCAGAATCGTTGAATAACAGACGGTGGAATAGCTATTTCTCTAGATGAATCTCTGATGAAATTATTAGGATTTACCTCAAAGTAGGCTAAAACGTCAATTTCTGTATCTTAGATTTCTTTAGATTTCTTTATTTCCTTCATTATGACGAACATTTACATTTCGTATAGGAATTGTCAAAGCACATACACATATTCAACATAAAACAAATAAATAAATAAATACGAGGTGAAACAAATACAAATATTCAGATAAAATATGAGTAATCATGAGGCAAAAAGATTAAAATATTCATTCAGTGTATAAAACCAATGGTCGAACAAAAACGACTTCAGTCTATTTCTGAATTTCGTTGGGTTTTTGGTGGTTTTTATTATATTTGGTAATTGATTAAAAATTTTAGGTCCCAATAATTTAGGAGAATTTTGAGTAATTTTATATTTAGGGGCCTTAGTGTATATTAGTCCCTTTTGACGTGTATCAAAATTATGGATATCACTTTTCAGGGTGAAATCGGTTTTGTTCGTAAACACATAGACGCATAACTCAAAAATATATATACACACTAGAGTTAAAAGTTTATATCTTTTAAAAATTATTTTGCAGGAATCTCTCTGAGAAATATTAAATAATCATCGAAGTATTGCTATTTGTGCAGTAAAAACATTCTTGCTCATTGTTGAGTTGCCCCACAAGCAAACACCGTAACGCAACCTGGATTCGACCTGAGCATAATACACCTTCATTAGTTGGTCTTTATTAAGAACAACCCCCAAATTTCTGAACATATACATTACTGAGCTCAACTTGGATACTAGCTGATCACAATGGGCATTCCAATTTAAATTTTCATCGATATGTATACCTAGAAATTTTGCAGTGTGAGTACTTTGCAGGTTTATGTTATTGATATTCAGATCAAGTGTTTCGAGTTTGTTTTGGTAATTATTAAAACGAATTTTTGGTATTTGAAACTAGATCTTGATTTTTGAGATATTTTGGAAGTCAGAGTCATAACATTTTCATATTTATTAATTAAGACATCTGTTCGTTTATCAGGTATAAGTAACGATATATCATCTGCATAGGCATAAAATAGAGGGTATGAAATTTCTGTATCTTTATTGTTTATATATAGTATGAAGAGAATCGGTCCCAGGATGGATCCCTGTGGCGCTCTAGCCTGAACCGTTTTCATTTCGGATGTGGAAGAACAGATAGTATCTCCATAATCAAATTTATGAGATACGCATTGATTTCGATTAGTGAGAAACGAAGAAGCCCAATTGGAAGAATTTCCCCTCAGACCGTAAGATTCCAGAATATTCAATAATTTTACATGATTGACGCAATCGAACGCCCTGCTTAAATCACATAAAATTGCAACAGGGCACTCGCCCGCATCAATAAACTTCATTAGGTCATCATAAAAACTAAGTAAAGCAGTTTGAGTTGATTTTCCTGAAGNTGTTTAATGTTGTCATAGCTTGAATTTTTGTCTAACAGTTCAATTATACGTTGTTGATTGTTTGTTGTTTTTTCCAGCTCATATATAAGCCTTCTTGATAATACAGATAATACAAAACGTTTTTCAGTTCTCCTTTTCTCAAAAACTTTTTCATTGTTCCTGAATCGACTATGAAGCACAGCAAAAAAAACGCCGATTAGGTGATTCACGATCGAAGAATGAATTGTTAAACTGTTGAAGTGCTCTTATGCTCTTTTTCTGGCAAACCAAGTAGGATACTAATATATCACATTTTTCTTGATGGGAAAACGACAAATATTCAATAGTTACAATAATTTATGACATTGTCATTATATACTTGAGAATATTTGACAACTTGATTACTCATAATAATTTTGTTTTATCGAATCAAACACATTTTTTCCAACCGCATTGATATGACGCTTCAGTAGGTATTTTTTGTTCTGTACAGAAACGGCTTCAATGTTATCATTATAGATATTTTTATTCACAAAATAAATTCGGCCAGTGGAATGGCCTCAAGATGGAAATTATCGTTTTGTAAATTATACCAAATAGCTCAGTGGTGTCAAGTGAGTAGTAGGACCTGATGATAATATCTCAGGCAAAGTTTAGATTTCAAGTGTGACGTCAAATGTGATATGTCGAAGACATTTTCTTGATTTGGTTACATGAACATATCTAATCTATCTAGAGGAAACTCGATAGCAACATTCAACTTGCCTCTAAATCTTTCCGTTAGAGAAAATCTTTTAAAATGAATGACTAAAATACAGGGAAACTTATGGATCGATTGAGACTTTGTGCATTTTCTTCTTTCTTTGCAACTTGAACACGTCGGTTTTTCATGTCCATCCAAAGTTTCCTTTCTTATGAAGAAATTCAAGCACTGTAATAAACTCCAGTTCTTTGTGATATGGGGAGTGATGAATCCCAGAAAGGGTCGAAGGTTACAGATGAGTGTTCACAATGTGTGCACTTCATCGTGGATTTTAATTGACAAACGAAATTATCTACGGATCAAATTCACGAAAAAAGTTGAAGAAGGTAACCAGCTCGCATTTCTCGATGTATTGATTATGAAAAAGCCGATGATCTGAATGGAAGATTAAAGATTTTTATAGAAAAATTGTTGTTTTTATCAATTATTATCAATTTTTATAAATTTGGGTTGACCAGGAAACAACACGATCTGCAGATGTAC